GGCCGTCGGCATACCGTCATCTATGCCGACGGGGGCCGTCGGCGTAGATAAAGCCGTCGGCAGCAACAATTATTCTGGTAGTGCCGGGTGCATCGATTGCCAGAAGGACATGCTCCCATATATGCCCCACATAGAGTACCCCGTTCACAAAGCATGAACTACCATAAAATCCTATCTCACTTTTCCAGCGACAACTAGACCATGTGAAATCCTCGGAGAAAAATATCTTAACTTCATTATAGACTTCACCATCCATGGAAGACCCAGACTGGAAGCTGAAGACATAAAAGTGTTGAGACCATGATGGATCAAAACACAGCATGAGATCATAATCACAGTCTGCCGGTCCAGGTTCAGTATTTGGAAGTGACATCCACTCTTGAGTTGCTGGATTGCACACAATAACATGGGATATGTCTGCGAAATATGTTGTGATACCACCATGATAACAAAGAAGTAGGCCATTGCTGCAACCCTTAAGCTCTAGGTACTCATAACATGGCACAAAGCTAAGCGTTGTGTCAATTTCTTTGTCGCATGAGGGAAGCCTAGCGAGATGGATGCCAGTGCCATACTGAGGTATTTGGTACAAGATACCAACGGGAGTTCTTGGGAACTTCTTGCGGTAGTGTGGATTAGATGACAAGGTAAGCCAGTACTTGCAGACGCATTTGAAGCGGCAAAAGGACTTCAGCGGTAGCCGAGACAAAATCTCCACAACCAGGTCATCAGTTAGCAAAGACATGGATATCTCCTGCTTGGGTTACATATAAAGAAGAGTAAAAAATTATGTAAAACAAAGAAACATAAGAGGCTGTAAATATTTATAAGTGACTAACAACTTTAAAAGTAAAAATGCCCAACATGTAAGAAAAGCTGAGCCGAACCAACGATTTTTTCAGAATGTCTGAATCATGGAATGCAAACTCAAAACATAGGTATTTTAATCTGAATCCTATTCAATTATAACTGCAGAAACTGAGGATGTACATTCCCCTTTATCCATATTTTCGGGATAACATCAGGGTTCGCAAATGAGCGAAACCACAAAACATATGTGATTATAGCTATGGCGCATGTACAGAGAGATAAACACAAAACATATGTGATTATAGCTATGGCACAACAAAAAGAAGACAAAGGAGCATTGATGTTTCATAATAAGTCAGCAGTAATGACCCAAACCTCAGATCTCTTTCGCAGGACGAGTGGGAAAACGGAAACTGCGGCAGTTCATAGGAGGAGCTAGGGCGACGGCAAGCTAGGACGGCAGAATGCACCGGGGGAAGAACCAGGGTCCATCTGCACGAGCTCAGATCAGAAACAGCGCCCGAGGAGAAAAGGGGGAAATGGAAGAGCTGAGGCCCGAGGACTCACCGCGCGCTGATAGCCTCCGGCACTGGACGAGGCGGCAAGCGCGAGCGAGGCCGCTGGTGTGGGTCGGCGAGGCGGGGAGCTCGATGTTGCGGGAAGCAGCAGCCGCGCCGGAAAATGGGTCTCCGGTGGAAGAGGGGAGTGGCGGCGGTTTTGGACTGAGAGTGAGGCTGCTCGCCGGCTCGTATTGGGCCGGGCCGTGTCCCTCGAGCGTGTCTGGAACGGGAAATCTATGAAAACCCACACCCTTCGGAGTTTTTTTAGGTAATATCTCCGTAAGTCATACAACTTGTGTTTGTGTTTGATGTTCAGTTTGGTGCTAAAACTTTAAAAATACGAATTTGTGGTCATCTAACTTGACATCACGTACAAATATGCTCATAAAATACGTGTACGGACGTATTAAGGTGTATGGCCCCACCTGTCAGTGAGTTGATGGCGCTCGGCCGACTTAATTTTACACAAAACACCCTCACATTTTTTTATTTATGAGAAAAGCTGACCACACTGTACTGCATATTTGTACAAAAACTAACAAAAAAGGGGGAGCCGGGAGCCAAACACGCGACCAATGTTCAACACACAATCCACTCTAGCCAACCAACCCTTCCCCGTTCACATGTAGGATACGGATAGCAAACGTAGACGTATTGAACACCGAGCTTAAATTTTATCGCATCTATGAGCAATGCGTCCTGCTTATGAAAATTAACAGGAAATAGTGTGGCCACCTGCTCTCAAACAAACAACCAATAGGCAGCACACAAGACGTTCTGTCGCTACAACCTCCACGTATACATGTCCTTTTTGGATCAACACAAGAGGTTCTAGTCACTACAACCTGCACGTATACACGTCTACAATGAATGACTAGTGTTAATAATGTACTAAAAATTTGTAGTTAGTATGTAAATTATAATTTCAGTAATAAAAATACATCTAAATATTCGCGCGTGATAAATATTGTACATACACGCAATAATCTACTTTTAAATTTGTTCATGTATTATTTTAGAAATATTCATATATTTAAATAAAATTTATGAATTATAATTTTTGTATCATTTAAAATAACACAAAAATTTCAAAAATTACAATTAAAAATATATTTTTAATTCTACAAACATTTCAGTGACTATTCTCACATTCTATAGTCCAATGTTGATAGGAATATTCAATCATGTCTAATATTTAAATTATATTAATTTTGATTAAAAATTATACACAAATGAATATTCATAAATATTTTGTAAATGTTTGAATTCATCATTTTGCATAATTTAAATATAATCTGTGAGTGTATATCTTTTGGATTCATTAAACATATTTACTTAACAAAAAAAATTCAATGTCGGTATTAACTAGACATTTTTTTATTAATACACAAGTGTATATTTAAATGTTTTTATGTACTAATGATAGTTCGTATGTATAATATTCTTAGAACATAACTTTATTAATTACGTTTTAAAAATATCTTGAAGAAACAGCAAATGCAAAATGACCCACAATATCTGCAGAAATAAGCCAGCAACGGCGATCCCCTTCAGAAAGGCATGCACCTTGTGTGTAGTGCCAGAGAGCCAGCCAGAGTGACAGAGGGAGCAAGAACAAATTTCCATGCATAGGAGCTTGATTGTTGAAATGTCACTTTGTTTTTACCGCTCTGTAAAACTGTCCTGATGTGCAATTAATATCATTTACATTGTTTTACTGCTCCACGTGTAAGTACTATGTGTTTCTCAAAAAAAATTAAGTACTGTGTTGATGGCATTATATGTTGATCTTAATGCCTCAACCTACCTGGACATGACTACTCGTCCTGCTTAACGGAATCACAGTAGCAGTGCACCCCTCTACGTGTTTCAGGTAAAAAAAGATTGGTAAAATAGCTTAAATGGGCTGCCGATGCTAAAAATAAATGTCATTTAAGCTCCACGTTTTGTACATCTAACTTTGCTATCCATACACTATATGCAAACGGGAAGGTTGGTTGGCTAGAGTGGCTTCTGTCGTGAACGGTCGTCGCAGGATCGATTGCAGGCTATCGCCCATTTTTTCTACTAATTTGACCTTTTTCAGAAATAAAGAAATGTGAGTGTGTTTTGTGCAAACATAAGTCAGGCATTGGTCATCACTCACTAACAGTTGGGCCATACACCCTCATACGTCCGTATGCGTATTCTGTGATCGTATTTGCACGCGATGTCAAGTTAGATGACCACAAATCCGTATTTTCAAAAAATTTTGCACCAAACTGAACATCGAGCGCAAGTTTTATAACTCCCAGTGATACTACCTCTTTTTTTAGTAACTCATCTTTTTTTTGAACGAAAAACAGCATTGTGCTGATTTCATTCATTAAGATAGGATGAGTCACCCCAAGAGATACAGTTCAAGGTTTATAGAACGGCTGGCAGCCAAAAAGAGAAGGAAAAGCTATACAAATGTACACACAGAAGGAGGAAATAATGCTATCCTGTGCCAGTCCATTGAGCTCCTCTAAATCCAGCGATTCTTCAAGAATTAAGCTCATTGATGATGCTCTCAGGAACCTTCAAGAAATGGGTTACCTTGTTATTGAATATATGGTTGTTTGTTCCATTCCAAACATGTCAGGAAACCGCCATGATTAGAGATGAGAGATCATTTTTTCTGCTTGTACCTATATGAGTAACTCATCTTAGGAAACTAACCGGAGGCGTCCCTAAAAAAGAGAAAAAAAAAACTAACCGAGGGCTAGAAGAAGGGGGTCTAGCGGGTGCCCGGTGGGTTAACAGGGATAGCCCATCAAATTTTGCCATGTTCCACGGATTCCCACTAAACACTTTTAAGTGGGATGGGTCGATGAGTCCCATCGTAGCCCACTCCCACTTGCTACCTGCAGTGCCCACTAGCTAGCTTCGCTGTCACAGCCATGCATCGCTTGTAAGAGCAAGTATAATAGTACTCAGTCGGCAGGCTATAAGCAGTTCTATGTCATCAAAATTATAGCTGGAAAAGAAAGAAAGAAGGGAAAACAAGGTAGCGTGCGCTTGAGCTAGTGTCAGCTACATCGCAAGAAACAAGACATGCAGCCCGCATGCAGCCCTGTGAGCCAACCCTCTTCTCCTTTCCACCAATCAGCGTGCCTTCTTCCCTTCTTCCACATGCAAGCACTAATTGCTACTCCCTCCGTTCCTAAATACTTGTCTTTCTAGACATTTCAACAAATGCCTACCTACGGAGCAAAATGAGTGAATCTACACTTTAAAATATGTCTACATACATCCGTATATAGTAGTCATGTGAAATGTCAAGAAAGACAAAAATTTAGGAACGGAGGGAGTAGTAGCTAGTTTATAACCCATCTATTATACTAACAGGCTATTATAAAAGGCTTCAAATGACATGGCATTGGTATATAGCCAGCAGCAATCCTTCTTATTAACCATGCTCTAACGGGAGGAAGGCCAGAGATAAAAACTCATGGCTTGGAATGGGACCAAGACCAAAGATAAAAACATAAGGAAGATACACAGTTAGCTCGGGACAGAATGCCTAGCCAACAAGTTTAGCAAGTGCGCGAATGAAAAAAAAAACACTAACCGAAGATCTAAATTCGGACACGAGACCCATAGCCAGCCCACACATTGAAGGCCTAAAAAGTCAAAGCACCCTTAAAAAAACTATTCACGTATCACCTGAGTAAGTCCACCACTCAGAAACTCAAAATGGACAAATCATTTTTGATAAAATGTTTTCAGGATTCCCTCCAATCCAAATTAATTGGCGCAGATTTAATACAATTTTAATTTGGATCGGAGGGTGTAGCCATGGATGTTACAAACTTGCATCAAACATTTTTCGTGGACCACCAACGACACATCATAGATAGATAGACAAGTACCCTCCAATCCATACAAAATTGCAGTAAAGTTATGTCAATTAATTTGAACCGGAGGGAGTAGCTATGGATGTTACAAACTTGCATCAAACACTTCCCGCGCACCACCAGCAGCACATCACAAATAGATGGATGGACAACGTCGTCGTAAAAGGCGAGCGGGCGCATCGGTGTTGGTTGCGAACCTCCGTAAATGCCAGTGGCGGCCGAAGAAGTACAGCGGCGGGAGCAGAGGTGGAGCGTGCAGATGCAAAGCAAGGGGGACAAGTGGCGGAGTGGAAGAAAATGAGATCGGGAGGG